ACTTTCCTATGTTCATAAATGAATAYACCATAAATGAAACTCCACATCATGTACAACCACAAGAATGGGATCCTAATTAGGATAAAAGACTCCTTTAATGGATAATTTKTTGAAATACACTCTGCTGTCATGTATATCTAAAAATAATAATTTAAAAAATAATAATAATAAAATAAAATAAAGAATAAGCATTTCCTAAATCCTAGGCGTGGTCCTCAGTGCTCTACCTGAATACACGCAGCTGAGTCCTCAAGTTAACTGTATCAATCAAGTGCAACCATTCTCCCTACTTTATGACCAGGGAAGCAAAGTCCAGAGATGCTACATCATCCAGGCTTGAGGATCCGAATTTCAAACTGGCACATGTGGATTCAAAGTCTTTGTTATGGTGCCACACTTCTTCTCAGTTCTGGGAAAACCKGTATAAAAGTTACATGAGGAGGATATTTCATTGCAACAATGTGGCTAATACTAGAACACATGAAAATGCTCCAGTGTTTGTCAATCTGAGGTAAGATTCTGAGCAAGTATTTTTGTAAGCCTAAGTGCTAAGTTACTGCAATCTKGGAAGAACTGTGTGCATGTACGTGTGTCACTTGACCATGTGTTTGTGTACTATGAGAAAGGCAAAGAGAGGAGAAAGAGAGGGGGAAGGGGGGAGGGAGAAAGGAAGAGAAAAAGAGAGATCATAAGGCTTTTAAAAATTTCCTTGTGTTCACTTTGGATTATAATAACTTGAATAGGTCACCAAGGTACCACAACATAACTGCTGACTCTATACCAAGGGGAGATTTATAAAGCTATATATCTCATCTCTGCCTCCTTTCCAATTTACTCAGTGTGGAAAATGCCATTGGCCTTCCAAAACCTTAACTTATGTTTGGACCCCTTCCATCTTAGAGTCTTATTCTAGTGTTGCTGACTATTAAAATGAATATTTCAGTAGGGCTGGAACAGTCTTATTAGTCCAAGCCAAGCTTTATATGACTTGTGCACTTTAAGAGGTTAATCTACCCAGCCAGCTTGCTTTGTTCAGAAGTATTAAATGGAAAGACTGTAACATTCAAAGAAAGGCAAAGTTCACTGGGTAAGCCCTCAATAGTATAATGGAGCATAAAACCTCCAGAAATTTTTACCATAATATTTTATGAAACATATGCACACACTCATTGGAACAGAATCCACATTAAATGGTTTTGAAGGTCAGCTCAAAGTCACCACATATTCAGTATCTCTGTGAGAAACAGGCACTATTTAAAAAGTGCCTGGATCCAGAAGCTTCCATTCCCTACTTTGAAGTTTATTATCTGTCCATCAGTGTGTTATATAAGGAGGGAAAAGTCACCTACTGTAACAATAGTACTATTTTCAGCCAAAGTCTAAAGTTCAGTAAAATATTCCAAATTTCCCTATCAACACATCCTTGTATTATGAACAAAAGGAATCACAGAGTGTAATTCTAGAAGGAAGTGCTACTTTAAGTGTGGGCAAAAAATATAAAAATTAAAATAGTTGTTATTCTCTACTTCAAAATCAATTATATAAAGCTTTGATGTTCACTGTTGTAAAGGAATAAAAAACACTTAATTCCCACATTTAAAAGTAAACTAAGAATCAGCATRATTAGAGCCAACTATTATTACTATTCTGATGTTTCTAAAATGGGATTCTAAGGGCAACTATGGTTCTCCTAAGGGGAAGGAAGTAAAGGTCCACTTTACAAGACAAAGGTCAGATTTCTGCAGGCAAATGAGACTTCTATAGTTGGCTGTTCCTGAGTTGTCACTGGGGGTGGAGGGACTAAAAGGTCAAGAGAGGTTCCAAATTGTGCTCACAGCTTAAGGGACACCCCTGGGGCCACCTTAATCAATTTAAGGTCATTAGGAATTTTCTTTCTCTGGTTCCAGTTTTCCTCTCTTAAATCTTATTAATATGCATAGGTAAATCAGTACTGATGTTGATTTAAAAGAAATTAAATGTATTTAGTATTATATGCTGATCAAAAGATAGACTTAAAAGAGGTTGTTGGGTGTATTCTAAGACTGAATTCAATGAAATCCAAGTAGAAAACAGAAGTGGTAATCTAGTTCCAACAGCAAAGAATGATTATATAATAACTGTTCTGGTATTTTGCTATATGATCTATGATACTCCTATGGAGYTGATTTATTTATTTTTTATTTTTTGTCGTACTGGTGATGGAACCCAGAGCCTCACACATACTAGGCAAATGCTCTATCACTGAACTACATCTTCAGCCCCATAGATGCAATGTAATATAAGACAGCATCTCACAAATGTTATTACCTTCAACAGTTTCCCCAATCACCACCTGCCTCATTATGGTAAAATTTAATAGTTTACCTTTTAATAATGATTTATGAATCACTGAAATACTACAAATGATTTAGTAAAAGTACTGTTTGACAATATTCCAATGCTCTTCTATTGAGCACAAATACATATCTAAATTTTCTCACAACAARATTGGCAATAACCCAAATGTATTAAATTTCTAAGACTTGGAAGAKTTCTGCCTATTTGTAATTAATGAAGGGTATCTCTAAGTATTTTAGATAGATAGCGTGTAGAAAACATCTGTATTTAATTATTTCATACTTTTCTTAAACAAGACAATGGGAATTGAATTAGGAATATTTTGAAACCCCTATAGAGATATTAAAGTATTAACGGCTGTTCAAGAACTTTATTGCTACAATGCTTSAAAATGTTTAGTTTTACAGATCAACAGCCTGACACTTCATAAATATCAGATTTTCAATATAAAAGGAAGAAACTTGAAATACCGGACAAATACAGAAAATATATTATTCGAAAGAGCCAAGGATTTTCACTATTACTATATATCAAATAAACAGGCACAGAAAAGGTCTTGCACATTTGCAAAGATTTCAATAAGAGTGTGTAACATATATCCTGATCAGAATTTCTCTTGAATTTTGCTGTGAGCTGAGAATTTCAATGAGAATAAATTAACAGCTTGCTATTCATTCTTCAGAGAGGAAAAACTATAACCTGTTCTCATGGAAACAGAGACAAAGTATGTGTTTTTAGTACTTATCCCTAAGTTTTGAAAAAGATCAGATTTTCTTTCTGGATGCTTACTAGTCCCAAATGCCACTTCTTTTCAAAGACAGTGTCAGCTCTGCAGTCAGTTTTCAATCTCCCAGTGGTAAGAATATATTCAAAGGCTGTGTGCTCAGCAGGACAGAAGTCTTTCTCTGTGAATGTAACTGTATCACTCATCAGTAACCTGCCATAAGGGGACTCAGTATTTTCTTTCCTTTTAGTGATTCTTTGGGCTCTTGCATGCCAGTGACTCCCTGAGACCTGGGGCAATATTCACAAAATCTTTGTCCCTAGCTCCTCCACAAGATACTGGTGCAACTAAATGTAAAGGTTGTAGATCAAAGTCCCCACATTCTAAGTCACATGTCCTTTAGGAATCAATTTTCATAAACTATATTCCATGTTTTTGAAATATATAGAGGCTACTCTTTACTTTTTTCCTTTTATCCCAGAGAAGTTTATTTATGAGAAAGGCAATAGGATTTGTTGATAATAGTGAGAAATACTGATACAATATGTAAAACGCAGTCATTCATGAGTCTGTGTAGGCTTCCATAGAAGTATTTTACTACACCTCTCAACTCAGAAACACTAAATCCTTTAGGCTACAAAAATAAAAAGGCACAGTTTGCTTTGTGACATGTATGACATGTAACCATTCTTTCCCAGTATCTGGAAGAATATGAGCTACATTGTGGGTAATACATTTTTATTCATGATTGATTTATTTTTTAGATCTTCATTATGCTATAGGTAAATTATATGACAGAAAATAGCTTCAATATATGTTTTTACAATCCACATCCTCTTTAATTACTCAAAACTTCTTGGAGAATGAATATAAATATTTGAAATCATTATTACTCCATAGATTTTATATACAGAAATCTATACTTTTTAAAGTAGTCCTGAATAAAATACAACAGACTAAACTATCCTTTATGAAAACTTTTCAGATAAATTATGGATATAAATTTTTTAAAATGACAACTGCCCTATCTAAAAACTGTATTTGGCAAACATCATAAGATTTAGAACAGAATGTATACAAATGCTACTTTTCTGTATATCTAAATAATGTTTAAATATACTTTTTATAGTGTATATCYAAATAATGTTTAAATATACTTTTTATAGTGATAAGAGCACATAACACATTAAGTATACACATCTCAGAAAGCTCACAAAGGAGAAGAAGATGGGAAAACAAACATAGCCCTTAGAGCTACATAGAATTTTACTAAATTCTAAATACAAGCTTTATTACGCCAGTTCCCCTAAATAAATTTTAATATAACTATATGATATAATTAGGTCCAAATTCTTGTTCTCAGTTCTTCAATCTGTGAGACATTAGGCAAGTCACTTACTCAGGAAGGTATCCTTGGCCTTACCTGTTTTCACCACATAAGCAGTTAAAGTTAAAAACATACTTTTTCAGGCAAAATAAAATTTTTATACCCATTTTTGTAGAAAATCATTGAGGCTCAGGAGAAAAATAGTGGAGGCAATTAAAGGGCTTCACTAATGGAAAATAGTTAAATTTTCTGAGGGATCAAATTTCTATTTTCTATTACTCTAGTCTTCATTGTAAATACAAAAATATTTGGCTAACAATMAAAAATGATTGCCTTTTAAATTTAAAAAAAAGTTGCTGTGATGATATAGTGAATCAAGTGATGGATAAATAGGCAGGGAAGTATGTGTCTCTGTGTGTGATTCTGTGTGTGGGACTGTTTGTGTTTGCATGTGCACCCAACCATGTTAGCATGTTTGTGTGTACTGGGTGCAGGRGAAGGGAGGTATTTAATACCTATAGTTCAAACCCTTTGATTTTCCTCTATAAGTGACCAAATAAAACAACCAGTAAGTTATGGAAGAGCAAGTGGGTTTGTGTTAAGTCAACTTACCAGTTTTTCGAAGGGGAAAATCGTCCTTGGTATCTTGTGCTCCTGGTAATGTGTATTTGTAGGATGGAGATGTTCCACTTAGGGGCGGAGAGCTTTGATCCAATGATGTGTGGTGGGCAGCCCTGCAAAAGACAAAGAAGGTTCACCATTGACGCTGGAGTTTTTACTGCATGTTGGTCAGCAATAATCAGTTGCACATGCTGTACACGCGCCTCAGCTGTGTTTATGTTCCTTTTTCCTAGTGTATACAAACCACAGCTTCATGTAACCACGTTCACTATAGCATTATGTTATAGAGTAACCCAGGATGCCTAAGAATGCCCACTGTGTGTTTGGTCATACAGTCACATAGAAAAGTTCACCTCACTAAAAAGAAGAATTTACCAAATGCCAGAGGTTTTGATAATCTGAGATTACTGTGCATGTTTTCTTAAGTGTCATACTAGTGGGAAAAAAACAATCATTGTCTGGATCCCTTTTTACTCATCAATGTAGAACAACCAAGGTATAGACATATACAAGGAGTTCTTTAAAAATAGCTATTAGATAGCACATTCAAGTACTTGAAGATGACTTCTTTAGTGACAATACACTGTCAAAAGTCTCAGGTCTCTTGAGTTCCAGAGGTGTGGCATGGAGACCACATTCTTCCTCAATATGAAACTAAATTTTAAAAATACTTTTCTTTCCTGGGTGACTACACTGAAAAATATGCAACTGTGCTACTGGAGAGTGCTTCATAGGACTGAAACAAACCACCTCGCCGATATTTACCTTTATAATTGTTATACACAATGAAAACAATGAACAGGGCATAGCACCATTATCACAATGGTTGTTCTATCAGTACTATTTAYTTGAATATTCTTAAGAATTGGTTGTTTTAAGGATATTTCATCTACCTATAACTGGAAAAAATGGTATTAAATTCATATTCACAGATTAATGATTTGTGGTTATCTGGAGGTGGACCCTACTGAAGTTCAATTAAATAAGACAGAATTGCTAAATAACATGTGAGAGCCACATTTAATATATTCAAGAGAACAGCCAAAGAATTTGCAGTTGAGAATTATTTGCATGAGGTTGTTTCTAAGTAAAAAATAGCATTATCTTTTCTTAAAACAGGCTTTAATTTTAAGGGACATATGAATTAATTATAAATTATGAATGCAATTTTGGCTAACAATTGTATTTCTTTTAAAATGCTTTGGGATGCTGATTAAATATCTGAAAACTTCAGTAGGCAGTTTCTCAAGTTAACTGACATGCATGTGATTATAAAAACCATTAAAATGCGTAAAACATTCTGGAATCTGCCTGTTACTTTTTATTCAGGATGCACAAAAGGGTAGATACCTATAAAATAGACTTATAATAATTGTATAAAAACATCTCCTGGGATGCTTGCAATTTCCATATAATAGAGTAATTGAGTATTTACTTCCTATCCTTGATGATGTGAGCAATTAAAAAATATGTTCATTTAAAATCCTATGGTCATTCAGTAAACACATTTATGAGAGAAGTGAAACCATTGTCTATTAATCTATTAATCCTAATTCGATTTGCCTTTCAATATTTGCTCTGTTTACCACATCCTTCATATTTTATAGAAAAAGAATTATATATTACATAATATCTCTTTACCGGACTTGGGAAAATACAATTCCATAAAAACTCAAATACCACAGGGCACTATGTTGTCCGTGTATGTGTCAGAAGACATACACTGGAAAGAAATGAGGTGTAGTGGGCAGGGGTAAACTACTCACTCACTGAAGACTTAAGATTTATTTATTTAACTACCTCCCTTCTCTTCCTTTCMTTTTCCTTCTTTCCCTTCCTTCCTTATTATATTTTTGAGTCAAAAATCATCTGGACTTCTAAATATAGCCATCACTTCCATTTCATATCAATCTAAGCAAAATAAAATAAAATCACAATCTGACAAATCTTTAGATATGTAGATATCGGATGTACCACTCGAGAACAGAAAGATTAAAAATACAAATTCATTTCTAGGTCCCACCGCATTTGTCAGTTATTTGTTCAACAAAGAAAAAAATATATTTCTTTGTCCTCAAGATGACAAACGCTAATATTTGTTAAGCACTGCTCTAGGTTATGAGTAACTTTATCACCTTATTACATAGGACCTTCCCAGGAACTCTAGAAGGCAGGTACTATTATTATCCTCTTTTTATGGAGAAGGAAACTGATCCTTAGAGAATTCAAGGAACTTGCCCAGAGCCACACAGCTGAGAAATGGCAGGCCCAGGATTTGCGCCCTGCTCAGCTAAATACAGAACCTGTGCTCTTTACCCCTGAGAATGAAAATAGCCAAACACTGAACATACGTGTACCAGAGCTTGGGATGGCGGCTCACGGAATGATTTTTTCCATTAGTTGGAGTGTCTTTCGTTGCTGATTTACTCAACAGGAATTCTTGAAGCTTCTGCTTTACTTCTGTACTTGCCACTGCCCCTGAAACACACACACACACACACACACACACACACAGAGAGAGAGAGAGAGAGAGAGAAACAGATGTTGATTGTGAATCTTGTCCTCTCATGCATCTAGAATATTTAACAATGATTAAGAAGTAACATCACTGGTCATAGGATATAAAGTTTTCCTATTAAAATAAGAAACCAGGATCTAAATAGGCTTTAGAAAATGGCACGGCGATACTTTGCAACTTATTAGTTAAACTGCCAATTTCCAAAAGACCTTCAATGAGTTCTTTAATTGCTTTTGCAGAAAGGGGATTCCTGGAATTAATATTAATGTCTTTTTAAGTTTAAAAAACACTGCTGAGGAACAAAACACTGTGTTTTAAAAATCAAGATTCTTGGGGGACCATATCAGATCCCTTAAATACATTAAAATGATCTTTTCTGGGTTTATAGTTTGAAAAACTTAACATTTTTAAAAACCCCTTTGAGCATTAAACAAATAAATATTGCTGACAATTCAGTTCCAGTCATCAAATTTAAACCTTGCTACGACCTGAGTTTGAACTGACCTAATATGGGGAATTATTTGGATTTGTCTCCCTCTTGTGGACGGAACGTTTTCAAATGTGCTGTCTTAAATCTTTCCAAAGTCTGAGTATTCAGAAATTAAATGGAGGCTAGATGTGGCTTGCGGACCAATGCTTAATTACTTGGCCAGGAGGAAAGAAATAATGAGGCTATGTGGAAGCAACTTTGTTATTAAAYAGAATGGTTTATACAAGACTGCTTTAGTATGACATTATATTTAAGGTCCCAAATAACAAAAATATCATCTTTCCACTGTTAAYGTTTCCTTCTATGATACCCTGCAGACTGAATAGAGAGCTGATATACGAATGTCACAGCTTTACACTTGAGTCTATAATTTATTATCTTAATTAAACACTGGCAGTTTTGATAATTTTAATTCCACTGTTTATCAGGCTTCTTTACAAATGATGATCAGTTCAAGGTGAGGGAAGAGAGTCCRTCTTTTACCCTGATGCCTCTTACTTTCTCGTCCTCTATCTTTGCCTCTGAGAGGAGGAAGCTGCTGTTCTCTGCGATGCCTCTCTACTTCCTGTTCTTGCCTCTGCTGCTCCAGTTTCTGCTCCTTTTCTAGGAGTTCTTGTTGCTGTTTTATGGCTAGAAGTTCCTGTTGCAACTTGCGAGAAGAGAAAGACATGAGAGTGTGCAATTTCTTTAAGCTTTGTAGTCAACGTTGACTGGTCAAAAGTGAAATGTTATGAGCTTTYGGAACTTGTTTGTCATTAGTTCATAGTTTTACCCACTCTTTTTGAAAAGCATCAAAATCTGAAGGCARGCAACTAAATGTCAAGATGGTCTTATTATCACTGACAGATACGGTTTTTAGCTAACTCCRTTCCCTGTGTCTCCTTATCAAAGATAATTACCAAATCCACTCATATATTTTAGTTTATGTTGATTAAATCTTTAGTTTTCTGACAAACTCCCTTTGTACTTACGAAATATACAAACAGGCAAGTGCAGGGACTGCCTAGAAGTCTGTTTCACAAAGTCTCTCACATTATAAATAAATAACCTAAATCTTCAGTTCTTAACCTAAGAAATGATGTGAAAATCAAGGTGAATAAAATGGTGAGATATGAGTCAATTGGGGGAAATATACCTGAAATAGAATGAAGGCTGAAAATGTCAAAACCTTACAGAAAATTTTCTCAATAGACTAAGGCAATCTGCGTGTCCATAATAGGTTCATCTTTCAAAATAGCAGAAGTCCCTAGACTTTCATATAGCACTTAAAAAGGTTTAGATGAGAGACACTGGTTAAGATGAAATCACTTCCATGAAACTATAGTCTAATGCACTATTATTTGGCTTTCTGAGTTCCATGAATTCACTTCTAAATAATGAATAACATGAATATGAAATATTCCTAATAGTTATCTCAAGAKGTCAGCTTACTTTCAGGCTGAGAAATTTATATCTATGAAGAATAGTAAATGTGCCCACTGAGGAATTACTAGACTCTCTGAATTCTACTTAGCCTCCAACATTACTAGTATAAGACCTGACAAGTTACTAAACTACTCAGAGCCTCAGTTCCTCATAAGTGAGATAGAGAACAGTCTTCCTCATATTTCATATTCATAATGCATACAAATTTAGTTTTTTGGTTTGAACCATATTAGTTTTCATTATTACTATTTGTAACTTTTGACACTAATGAAAGTATATTTTTATATTAGATTAGTACCTAAACCTCTGAATTTTATACTGAAAAGTTATAGAACAAAAACAAAAAACCTCTATGAAACGGCATCAGGGTCACTCAGGAATAACAGAAAAGCAAGTGTGCAGGTCAACCATGATAGCCTTGTCACTAGCAAAGAACAAGGTTAGAAGCAGTTCTGGTTACTCTTCATATTAAAATGTTTCATTGTGGCTTAAAAAAATCACTCTGATTACACTGTTTCAATGTTACTTCTACATAGATATTAGGATTGGTCACATTGATTCAGTGCTTCATCCAAAGCCCCAGTGTATCTAAACTTCAATCTTTCTTAGGAGTATAGAAAAGCACACAGTCTCATTACCATAGCTACTATTCACTACAAAGATTGCATGAAAGASGTTTAAAAAATAGAAAGAAATAAAGACTTCACCCATCTATTTCCAGATGTTCTGACCCCTGAGCAAGGCAGGGTGATTTAGGAGCTGTGGGGGTAGACAAGGCAAGACTATAGTTCTTGGAACAACTACTTTCTGGCTGTGTAGTTTTGGAAAATTACATGATTTACCTCTACCTCAGCTTACTAGGTGGAAAAATGGGATAAGAGAAACCAAACTCAACAGATGTTGATTATTAAAGAAGCAAGAGAGTTAAAAAGGTGCATATTTAAAGCTCATGGACTGTATCTTCCTCATGCAAGTAAAATCTTAATGAGAATTAAAACTATTAACTTTTAGCCTTACCCATAAAAAGAAACAAAATGAAATAAAAAGTTAGAAAGTAAATAACTTCCTAATCTTCGAAGGAAATTTTAAATATGTCTTTAGCTTCTGAGAAAAATAATGCATTAATTTGGAAATCACTTTAAAGGCCAAATTTTCCTTTTGGCTTTCTCATAATCCTTATTCTCTTAAGAGCTCTTTTCCAACATTTTCCAGATGTCAATAAACCTATACTGTATCATTTTGTTTATGCCACAGAATCAATTATCTACTTTCTACTATTAGTTTTTGAGTAAAGTTAAATAATWAGCTATTTTCCAAAAATTATACTAATCTTCTGACTACAAAAGGCACCAAATAAAAATGAAAAGTAGAAACTTAAAGACAAGCAACTAATATGCTAATGACTTATTGGCATTACSCTGTATTCAGGGAAACATGACTCATAGAGAAGTAAAATGAACTACACAGTTCCTTCACCAACTAGGTGGAGAGTACAAATCTTCCTCATGCATCACTTCTAACCTAACACATCTGGGAGGACTAAGGAAAGAGATCAAGGCGTCAATGTTCCCATTATTATTTCAAAGTCAAATCAAAACAATACTTTGGCATTCATTCAAAAATAAGTTCATAAACAGAATAAAGTTTACTCATATTTTAAAATACAGCCCTGAACTACAGATTCCATAAGGGACCCAAAAGTAAATTCTTACTCTTACTTTTAAGGTATCTTCTATATCAATAATATAAAAGAGTTCTTTTGGTAAAGTTCATTAGTAAAAGAAAAAGTTATATTTTGTATCAGATATTTGAGTCTTTCTTAAAATAAAGATAGATAATATAGACCTCCAGGCTAAGGAAATACCCTAAGGAAACACAGGGAAGGAGATAGTATTCGATCTTCCCAGCCACTGGAATATTAACTTGGTAAAATTATATTATATTTGCAAAGATTAGTTACCTATACCAACCTCACATCAGTGGTACCTGATATGCAAGCAAAAGATTAAGTTCCTAGAATACAGAATGACAAAATATAACACAGAATTCATTATATTAATAAATTAATATATGTTGAAATCATCTTTGAAGGACTTAGATATAAAAATAAAATTTTATCATAAATATATGCTATTTTATATTATTGTCATAATAAGTTCAAGACAAATATTTACTTCATCAAATTTAAAGATCCTTGCTTTTAAAAGTCTTTGTCAAATAGTTGAAAARCATGAATAAAGTATTTCTATCTGAAGATACAAAAAAAATGAATACATGGTTACATCAATAATAATCTGATAATAGGCCATTGTGAAAATAATTCTGGGATAGGATATGGATATATTTCTTTGGGGATAATCTAAACAACCCAAATCATAAAATGTCTACTCTCCTCAAAATTCAATAAGTTTTTATCTACAATCCTACATAAACATTAAAATATTTTCACCAGTTTGTCCATATAAAACACCCTTGAGGGGCTTGGATATAATGGCATGGTGGCAGAGAGATTGCCTAGCATGTCACATGCAAAGCTCTCATTTCAAGCCCCAGTACTGAAAAAAAAGTCCTCTCAGTTCATATAAGGTGACTAATTTATCCTTTCTGGTAAACTGTTTATGCAGATTCTATATAAATATAAAATGGGTCTTTCCAAGTTCATGGTTCTTGATGGTAAGAAGATGGGACAAATGAACATATTGGAGAGAATCTAAATGTGAGGGGCAAGTTGGGAAGTTACTATTCATTAGGAGTGATTCTCTTAAGCGAAAGGATAAGAGTGGTAGAAATCTCTCTATTAAGCAAAGCAGGTTTTTAGCAGGTACTTACCCAAGGTTTTTACTAATACAACACAAATTACCTTCAAGCCATATATCCATGTCTTAATCACAGAGAAACTTCCCCCTCCGTTCTCCCATGGGTACTTCTCGTGCCCATGTATGTCATGGTGCAGATTCCCCGACTAAGATCAGAGACAAAAGAAACATTTGCTACCTTGATGTGTTCCTGAAGCTGGGCCTGGTGTTGCCGGGTCAAGTTCTCATGCTGTTTCTGAAACTCTGCTATCAGGAGTTGCTTCTGGATTTGTTGCTGCTGCTGGATAAGAAGTAACTCCTGCTGCAGTTGCTTTTCACGGACAACAGGGTCCACCACAGGCATCATCATCCTGAGGTCTGTCCTTAAGTCTAAAGGCGAAATGGGCTCCAGACCCACTGGAACCTCTGACTTCACATCCACTAGAAAATGAGGGAAAAAAAGGGGGGGAGGGATTAATACAATAATTTGGAAACRAGCAAAAAATAAGATACTATACTATATCCCGTATAACAAGTCTTAGGTCAATGATTCTAGTCATTTCTTTATAATCACGATAGAAAGGCTTTTGTATGTCAGTTTTGATAAATGGACCATGTGCTAACTTTCATTCAGTATTTTGTACTCTGCCCTGAATCTTCTGCACTTCTCTTGTTGTTCAACAAGATGAGTTCACTGGTATCAAAGTTGTTCATAAAATTTCTCAACTAGACCACTTAAAAAATATTAAGTCAACTTGGGACCAAGAAATAAGACAACATTAAGAGAAAGATGTCATATATCAAGAAAGATATTCTACAACAAATCAATATGTGCATTTATGAACTTTTCTAAAATTAGAGTCAGAAAGACATTCGACCATAAAAAAGTAAAACTTGTAATATATTTACAGGGATATCGGGCCTAGCAAAAAAAAAAAAAATACAGATCTATAAGACAAATGTGGGAAATGTCAATTGACCATAAAAATGATGCAAATGGGTGGCCAAAGACAAACACCATGGAGTGAAAGTGGTCAGGTTTCTAAGTGCCAGTCTTTAAGTAGTAATCATCTGTATCTCCATAACCTCATTTCTGAAATAAACAAAGCAGAAGTATAAGGAAACTGAAAGTTATAATTAATTAAACCACCCACCGAAGGAAGAAAGATCTGCTGATCTAAGGATAACTATAAAAGATAATATTTAAATTGATGAAAATCAAATGAGATAATGCATGTAAAGTGCTCAGTACAACTTCTAATAGATAAGAATGTTGCTTCCTAACAGTAAAGCAAGAACGCTCACTCACTGGGTGATGTCCAGAGGCATTGGCTGTTTATGCCTAGTGTCCATTCTGATTGGTCATGAAATATTTTGAGTATGATTCTATCCCACAGGAATCAGGAGAGATTTATAATTAAATGAGACAAATTAAAGACAGTAGGGATTTTGGAATGGAAACTGGATGTTATGTCTCTTTTGAAAGAAGTGAACTACTATTCGGATCCAACCAATTATTCACAGGGAAAATATTCAAACCCAATATACACATTAAGATAACCAAATTTTTAATTGAAAATTTTTTSAAAAAAGTAAGCATTCTGGGAGCTTAACAAAATCCTTCTATAATCCAACTCTAATATGAAGGCTGCTAGTTTTCAATTTCTGCTCTAAACTCTTAAATATCTATTCTCATTTTTCCAGCTGTGCAACCCTGAGGATTTTATTGACTTCTCTAGGTATCAGTACCTTAAAATGAGATATCTACAATAATAGTAACAATCAGGTTGTTAAAAGGCTCAAGTTAGATCACTCATTCATAAAACTTATAGCTTATAGGACATTTCTCAATAAAAATTTTGGTTTTGCTTTTTAAAATTATATTAAAATGGYAATATCTTACATATTATAATAAATCAATATAAGAAAAAATAGGAAAAAATGGTATTATTTCTATTAAATATTAGAAAATGAATACACTAACACTTCTAGAAAAAGAAAAGCACACAGTGTAGCAAGTGAAAAATTACCTTCACTAGTGAAGAAATTAGAATTATAAAAAAATATAGCATAAATATTCAATTATCATATATGATTCATGTATATGTATACATCTGTGTGCATATAACACACCATTGTACAGTGCAAGGCTGTGACCAAATCATTTATTGCAAATGGTGCTGCCAATTGATATAAAAGTTCTGCAAAATCAATTTGATGATATGTGTCAAGAGTTATCAAATATTTCTGCCATTTGATTCAGATTTCCCACCTCTTGAAATATATTTTACAGAAATAATACTAACGGAGAAAAAAGGACAYGTTCAATGACATATTGTTTACTGCAGTATTATTTTTATCAAAAATTGAAATCCCCAACTACAAGAAAATGTTAAAGTAAAATATGTTACATCCATTTGGTTAAAAATATATATATATACACACAATCACTAAAAATATAATGTTTATAAGAACATTAAAAATGCTGTTATATCATGAAGTAAAAAAAAGAATAATGAAGATACATTTATACTACAAGTAAATAAAATTAATTTAGCCAATATACTAAATATGTATTACTTATCCCCTTAAAGTCCCTGGATTTTATTCTATATGATGGGGTTCAGTAGTTTTTAAAAGACAAAAATTCCAGCCCTCACTAATTATATATTTTATTTAGGTTCTTAATCATATTGGTCTGTGAATTCTAATAGCAAAGACTGGTGATACAGGGAATAGGGCATGGTTGTAATTTGAATGGAAATATGAGTGATTCTTCTCCTTTTTCTTTTTTTCTCTATTTTTCAAAATTGCAACTAATATTCTGAGTATTCTTATAAGTATCTAAATTTGATTTTCAGATCCCGCACTGGGAACTGCAAAGTTAATATTCCATATGGATTTAAGAGCTATTTTCAATGAGTTAAGAAAGCCTAACAGAAATCCTGTCTGTAGATGTTACGGTTTCAAATACTAAAGCTGTAAATGTCCTTGCATGTCGTTTGAATTGTATGTGCATGTGCATGTAGATGAGTACCAATCTTGGGTGTTAATATTGGCTATTTTTCAGAATTGCATGTACTGATCAGAGGTTTTCACTGATGGCACCTTTTGTGACACTTTAATAAAAATGAGAAAATGATTCATTAATAAACCCTAGTTTGATAGACAATGTCTTCTAAAACATGATATTTATGAAAGGAAAGAAATTAATTGTGACAAGTCTGAAAGCAAATGAGGATGATGGCCTATGAGATCTCTTAGTTGTAATGCCCAATGTCGAACTTTCAGTCAGTTCGATGGTAACATGAGATTTTGAGCATTAACTTAAAAAGCTGGCATAATTTCAACCCAAAGCAATGACTGTTAATTATATATTTCATTTTACATTAAAAAAGCCAAACTATGGCCTTCAGTTTTTACATGAAAATCCCAGTAAACAAAGGTCAGATTTTAACTCAATAAAGACAAAATGTAAAAATCCAAAAGACCCTGCAGTCTCTCCTTACTGGCATTCCTATTATCCATAAAGTACAAAGATCAAACCCTTAAATTTATTTTTCAGCAAAAAAAAAAAGATAAGAAAAAAAATCCCACAACTCTCTGAAACAGTTATTGTAAACCTCAAAGGGTAATTTGACTTCTTAACCTGCTATCCCAACACAAATGATTGTGTCTAACTGCTTGCCTTTGTTCAGAGACTAATCACTAAATTGTGAAAAATCACCCTCAACTTACAAAAACTGCTCTTGATTATAAATAATTGCCCAAGACTGAGAGAAAGCGGCAGGCAAGATCCCAGTCTTTCATCCAATTTATTCAGCAGCAATCCACATTCCATTTGTCTAGACTAAATATAGCAACGTTTATACAAGAAATCAATAGTGCCTACAGAGAGGAGAGCAAAGGCATGAATATTTCATCAAACCCAGAGAGAAATGGCAATCAGCAAACTGATGGTTCTGGGTAGGTCATCTTTGGCCTGCTGGATTAGTTCCTGTTACTTGGACAATAGCTCATCTCTGCCTAATCATAATCATATCATAGTCATTCTTTCTATTTTTAGCATTAATTGCATTGTGGGTGACAAAGGCTCATCAGATTCCAAAAGGGATGTTATATTTTTCTTACATCTTTTGTRACAGGCTAGTGAGCCTCCCCAGGAGCAATAATAGTAACAATGCTAAAGCTGAATTTCAACAAGTTGTAGTCCATTTCTTATCAGAGAATGTGAAAGAGTGGGCATTGTCTAGAACTGCTCTGTTATCATAAATAGGAATAATCAATTACAAGGAAAAATTAACCACCAGTTTTAACAGTGAGTAAATGGAATTCTCTCTGTTCACAATGTACCTTGTTTGGAAATATTAAAATTCCTCAGAAATTACTCAGAACAGGTGGTCAAGGATACATACTTTAGAAGGAAGGAGATAGGGAAAAAATAGTAATACTAATATTAGCTATAAATGACTCAGATTCTTTTAAACAGATCTCAGTACCTCATGACACATTTGAGAAAGAACCATGACAGAGCTTTTACATGGACTCTCCCTGTTTGAGATTACAAATATATGCAAACATATGTGATTTTATATTATTCTACTTCTTATATACCAAATGCCCAGTCAGAACATTTCCACATCTATATTCTCTAGTCTGAATTACCATTTTATAAAATCCTGTTCATTCTTTCTTCACAGCTTACTTCTTTGACCATGACTCCTTTATCTGTGGAATATTTACCTACTGATGTAATTATCTAGAAATAGTTTTTCATGAACCTATAAATGAAAAAGTTCCCACTTGAAAAACAAAAGAAAATCYGAGATCATACAGATGTTTAGAATAATTATGTTTATTTAAGCAACATACATATATGCTGTTTAAATTACTGTGAGAAATATGAGTTATTTTTTTCAATTCCAGAGCTGTTATAAAGTTAATTCGGAGTGCTAAGAATAATACAGTAGGCTTCACTTTAGATGCTCTTATTCTTAACAAAGGTAAGCAGGGAGAATTTTCACATGTTCTAAAACAAGACTTGGGTTGCTACTTCATCGGCTGGTTTGCAAACAAGGAGCCCCCATTTTGAGAATGTTTTAGGTCCCAGGGATGGGACCATTTTAAGAATACACTCTTTTGTCCATGTACAACCACACTAAGGCTGCTGAAAGCAGATCGTGGTGCCATCAAAGCAGCGGTGTTCAAAATACAGGTTTTCACACAAAAAAAWTGGCTCAGTCACACCACCAATTTGTGCATCAATTAGTTAATTTTTCCACTCAGAACTGCCACAAAAAAATTGGAACCATGTTCAACAATCTCATGGCTACTTGATTACCCTTAGCACTCTGAATTAACTTTTTAACAGCCCGGGAATTGAAAAACCATCTCAGTTAATATTCATAATTGCAGAGGCAGCAACTCAGGATACAGTATCC